TTCGTCTCGAAAGGGTTAAACTGAAAACTCAAACCAGACTTCTTAATACACACTCAAACGATCGCGAATTAGGTTCCTTTAAAATTTGTTAAAATGTGTGAAAATGTCAGAATATATAATTCAAATACCTTTGCGTGTCTTGTTCCATTAAAAAAAAATGCACGAAAAATATACTATTATCTCTTTTCATGAAGATATTATAAGACTGTTTTTTCGTTAGGATATGGGTAGTAATGATGTAAAAAGAACTGCATGTAGTAATAAAGAAAAAACAGAGAAACGTGCAGGTGCGAGGGGGTCGGGTGATTCGACCGGAATATAACACGAGTACCGGTTGGCGGCTCTAGTCGAACACGCGGCGAAAAACAAGAAAACGGTGCCAGTAGTGCGTTGACGTTTTGTGGCACGCATAGTGTCCGTTCGTGGAATTACATAAGGCGAACTCCACGTGCAACACGTCTCGCGTCCGAATCACAGACAGAATCGTGATCACCGCGAAGCTTTTCATCTGGTATGCTGGCCCCGACATCCGCTAACATCGGACTATTACAGATCGTAACCGGTAATATTGGTTTTATACGTTTTCTGAAACGCTAGAATAACAGAACACACAACATTTATGAAATAAAAATATATGAACCATTACTATTTATACATACGTTGTGACATCTATTTGATTCATCGATTAAAAAATTATCAGAATTTTAATAAAAATGTTAGATTGCACCTGCAGATCTTTCGTTAAATATTTTAAAAATATTGTAGGGTTTTGTAGAGAGTATTGAATTCCAGAAACAGGAAAATTGCAGTATTAATTTCTGATTGTACCAAAAACAGTTGTACTTTAATAGAAGCTAGCCAGGAGAAATAGATCTTGATCTGAAGTGATATGATATTCTATAATTTCCTTTGAACGCCTACTTCTTGCAAACAATTTCAATTTTAGATAGAACAGTATGCAAACTCGGCTTCCGATAGGGGAAAAAGTGGCGTAGGGAAACCTTCTACCACTTGGTAAATTTATTCCAAGTATTGAAATAAATATTAAATTGAATGTTAATTTGATATACAATTCAATAATTCGCGAAACCAAATGGCTGGAGGTCCTTCCCTACGTCACTTTTGAAGCCGAGTTTGCTCCTAAGTGTACATTTAAATGGTGTAACAACATGTAAAATAAATCAGTCGATAGAGTGACTTCAATGTTTTTTCAAATTTTTATATCGAATCATGAAGTTTCATATAATTTTACTGGATGTTAATCGGTGAAGAACTTAAGGGGATAGCCCACTTTGGAGCCTAAATATAAAAGTTATCTGGCAATTTTTTACGAAAATAATGAAGTAAATGAAAATCTAACCAAATATCTAATACATCATGCAAAACCATATGCCACGTCAAATCCCAAACGAAATACAACTTTACTCAATGTACCTACATTAGTTACACTATTACAATTCATAAGTCTTTAACCGAATTTTTTTTAATGTTGCTACACCATTCATGTTGTTATTTCATTCTTACATCTCAAATATTTAATACTTACATTATACAAAAGTCATTCGCTCGTTCACGTCCTCCGATTGATTTAGGTAATTAAGATTTTATTGTACACAGTGACTGGGTCCAGTCGGACCCGGCATCTGCCGAATGAAGGTTGAACATCATTGAGAAAGATGTCGTGACATGAATGTGACCACGCGTATTGATACTTAGGGCTGATACTCACGGTGGGTGGCCGGTATTGCTGCACGCAGGCTGGGTTGGCATGCGGGTGTCGCGTCGCGAATGCGCCGTGAATCAAAGGACGCCCCGTTTATCGGAGAGTGGAATCGCGTTAAACTGGAATTCTTTCCTGGGAATCGGTGAAAAATTTCGGACTCTCCAGGCTGGGTATAATTATCCGCGATAATTGCGCCACCGCCCAGGAGTAAAACAGCGTGTACAAGCACAGCAGAACGTCGTGTAATTTACCACTTAAATGCGGAGCCCAGCGATCGACTTTAACCCTTAACTGATAAGGTGGAAATCATTACTTGTTGTACAACTCATACTTGTTTTGCATTCTCATGTAAAAAAACATCGAAGTAAACAAGTGTCTATTTGTAGTGACTATTGAATAAAATTAAAATATTCTAAAAGTATTCACGGGGTTCCTCAGACCCCACCTTACCAGTTAAGGGTTAAACGATTTTTCTTATCGCCAGCCGACTGTGAAAACTACACCGCCGTCCATAAGTATCCCGACATTGTGGATTATCGATAGTAGAATGTTACTATTCTTCAATAAGACTATCGCACTTCTGCTGCTATTTGTCGAATTGAATAGCTTTCTGTAGGCTTGTTAATATTCTCCTATCGATAATACTTATCTAATAATATAATATTATATTAATATTAATGTAATATTTATTAAACAATATTAAGAAAAATTTTGAAAACTATTCTTATTTTTCACAATTTAATTAATATTAATAGTTACTATTAATATAATGTTTATTAAATAATATATTAATATGAAACATTAATATTAATCCAGTTATGAGAAATAAGAATAGTTTTCGAAATGTTTCTTTAGTGAGTCAAACAGGAAATTTTTGGGTCTTGCTGTGTATGTATAAAAATAATCGTCTGTAATATGTGCTGCTACATATAGTATGTACGGAACTTAAACTCGGAAAGTTAGAAGTTCTCGGTGAATATGTACGTGAATGCACGCGCTTCCCAATTTCTTCGGCCGTGACTCGGTTATTTGCTTAATTATTATGCAATGCCCGACGATTTAATCGCTGGCAATTAATACTACCTCGTTAGTATGCGATCAACGAGCCCACCGTACCTTTACCCCCATGGTTTTTGCACTTCCATTTTGTTTCCGCTCTCTTATCCCGCCGAATTTAGCTTACTATTATGATCATTTAAAATTTAGAAATGTCTGTGAAATGTATTTTTGGAAAGGGTGGCCCCAACTTATTTCTATACAAAAAAAATCGATATTAACTTGTTGCATGTATGATAGACTGTGTGTGTGTCAGTATACATATATAATATGTAATTTAATAAAAAAGATTCATGTATTTATAAAGTATATATTTCAAATAATATATATTTCGAGAATAATTTCCAGTATAGAAATGATACAGGATGCTTCAAATATTTAATACATTTTTAGTTATATTAGTGTTACAAGGAAGTGTTATATTAAATCTCATTTTAATTATTTCGATATTTCTTATTTATATTATAACACGTAGTGTTATTGATACATTACGTTATGAAAGTAATGTAATATTCGACGAGATTCTCATTTCACAAGCAACTTTAGTTAAAAACTTCGAAAAATGAACCGTAAAATTACCAAATATTGAAAAGATTGAATGATTTCCTGAAGTAGCTTTCCTATGATTCTCGGTATCGTGTAGTTAATACGAATCGAGGTTATAAATTGAAATCTTAAATGCTATATATTCTATTTCCTTTATAATACTTATAATACTTCAGTTGATAAATAACTACTGTGTTTAATTATCATAGAGACAGTGTAGTAAATCAAATTTAATTATCCACTATTCCGAACAGCCACAAATTAAAAAAAAAACAAATGGAAGTTATTTACGATTCAGTCTGATAGAAATCGAGAAAACTATAGTTTATTCTATGAATTATTTTTAAATAATTAAATTACTTGTTTACCGCCATATTAGCAACTTACTACTCTATAAGGATCTTACAAAAATATGCATAATCCTTTCTACAACAATTACGAACAATAACAGATCGAGTAAGAATCATTCATTTTCGATGCAATCGACCCTGAAAATATCCAAAGAAAAATTCCATTCGTCCGCAAATTCTAAAAACAAAATTCACTTCATTCATCCACCGAAGAAGACGCTTGATTTCGGTCAGACTCCCGGCAGCAGCCTATCTATGAATCTCTGAAGCGTGACCGAAACTAGAAGCTCTGTCAAGTCACGTTAGAACTCCTTTCGCCTGTCGAATGAATAATCCTGGAAGGGAAGAGGGTTCGAATGGGCGTTCCTTTGCTGCCCCGTAGAAATGATAAAAACGCGATCGTAAGTGAGACAACATATAGGGTGGCCTAGGGTGTCGCGGACCTCACAACGTGATTTTATAGGGATCTATAAAAGGGGCATACCAGTCGGAGCTTTAAACGACCCGTCGTCTAGTTGCTTGAACCTTGTCCATCTGTCCCCTATATCATACCAAAATAAATAACAGGGGCAGACTGAGTTACGGGGGGGGGGATCGCATTTCATTAGAGTTACTAGCAACGAGATTTAAAGTGATGTTCTAAAACATGATGGAGCAGTGTCATATGTTTGTCGACATTATCAGCTTCAAATCGCCTACGAGCGTAATATGATCTTTTATTAGCGTTTCAGACTGAAAATACTGACCAGGAGCAATGCAACTTAAGATTCTAACATGCATTGATTTTATAACACTTCATAACATAACGTCAGAAAGAATTTTCACTTTAGAGGAGATTTTTAAGAACCAGTTCAATTTATAATCACTATACATTTATTCTTAAGTCTGCAGGTAGTTTAATACAATTAAAGTTTATTTCCCAAGGAATTATTGAATATTAAGTTACAAATGAAACGTACAAAAGAGCTGGGCTTGGCGGCAGTGAAATACGGTGGCCATATTGAATATCATGGAGTTAATTCCTATGATGATTCGCCTAACAGAACATCCGTTTTCAATACTACGTCGATGGGACATTATTTACTCTATCCTATTTTATCTTTTCTAACACATCCTCCAGAAAGACTATTATCTCAAACAACACTCTGTATTTCCAATCAAGCTGTTCTTATTTTCACGCTTGTTGTAGAAATTGCTTTAGAATTTAATTACTCGCCGCGGCTACCAGGCTTGAACCATTCCACGGAATTCCGGATCGCGATTAAGTTAAAGATGTTGGAAGCGTTTCGACAAGGTACTTACACGATACGGTTTCTTTTCGGCAGGTACCGGACATAGGGGCGGAATTAACGGGTGGCTGTTACGGTTTCGCCGCGAAATATATGCACTGGCCCGAGGAGCTGCTCGTCGGCGGCGCTAAGCACAATAAGACCGGTCACTTGACCCGGGCAGCTGCGCTGCAGACCGTTGTGCAGTTAATGGGCGAACGAGAGCTTTACGATTTCTTCGCCGGCACCTACAAGGTACACCATTTCGACTGGTCCCAGGAGAAGGCGTCCCAAGTGCTCGAGACCTGGCAACGGGCGTTCAGCAATCAGGTGAAAAAACATCTGGACGCGAACGGCTCGGCACCGTACAATTTGTATGCGTTCAGCACGACAACGATGAACGACATACTCGGGAAGTACAGCGAGGTGCCCGTCATGAAGATCGCCATTGGCTGCGCGCTGATGGTTAGTAGTAATTTGAGAAACGATTTCGAACGTTTTTAGCGAATTATCATTTGCACGGAATGTGGGCAACGCAACTTCGTTATATTGGCTTGTCGCAAAAACTCAGAACCTTTCGATGATTTAGCGAATCTTCATTTGCACGTAATGTGGACTACGCGACTTTTTGTTATAGTAGGTTGCTGAATAAGCTCTGGTCCTTTCGAAGATACATTGGATAGAATTGGATTGGATTGGAAAAAATATTCAGTTTTTACATAGTAATAGTTGCAATCTGTTAGCTGCGATTTTTAACAAAATAATGATCCAAACAATGAGTACACAATTCAACAAGTAAATATTTGTGTTTCTAATAGAATCTCACACTGGTGTAGTTTAAAAGCTAAGCAATCAACATGTTAATTTTATTAAAAACAATTGCATTTTATACTCTCTAAATAGTAGTCATATGAGCAGTTTTTCAATGTGCATTATACTATTCCTTTGTGTCTTTTGAAAAGGTAAGGAACAGGATTTATGCAGAAACCTAATATTAGTCTTGTCCGAAAGCTCTGTCGGTTTTGTACCTTATTTAATTTAACATTAATCTGGAACGCAATGATTACTAATTTATGTAACGATATTTTATCTTTCTGACAATTTCTCTATGCCTCCTGGATAGAAATCGCCCACGTTATCATTAAAACTCGGATGGAAAATCGACAGAATCTTCTGACAAACCTAACAAAATCAATATATTTTCCGATTTATGTATACTATTCAAAATAAATATATATTTCACAGTTTTTAACACAGAAATATTTTTGTTCACTATTAGGCTTTTACACTACCACTCGTGAGTATTTGCCCTCCCATGGAACAAACGTTTACTCTTGTCCATTTTACATTTCACTATAGGAATCTTCACTTAATGATCGTAAATTTTGATTATTTTATTGTCCATAATGCGGAGAAAACTAGTTCTTTTGAAACATTTGGTAAAAATTTTAGTAAAGTGAATCTAACAAGTGTGCACAAATACTTCTAAGCAATACTTGTGTATGTTAAAATCGTTAAAGTAGACACTTGTTTGGAGAATTATAAAATTCCCCTATTTTGCACACGTTATACAATTGCCATATTTTATTTAAAGCTATAAAAAAAACTCAGTTACTTCTTTTTCCTCTTATTAGACATCATACTTTAACAATACATTGTTTGAAAAGTGAAAGAAGCCATTCCGTTCTAAAATTTGTTGAATTCGTATTATTATGAATTATATTCTTTATTCTATGAACTACGTATGTTTTGTTACAGCTACTGTACGCAGGCATAGCCCTACTTCGATGGAAAGATCCAGTTCGTTCCCAAGCCGGTGTCGGTATAGCCGGCGTGATGTTAATCTGCGCTACCGTGGCAGCCGGTTTGGGGTTCTGTGCCCTCCTAGGCATCCCCTTCAACGCTGCGACCACTCAGATAGTCCCGTTCCTAGCTCTCGGACTCGGTGTTCACGACATGTTCCTATTAACGCACACCTACGCTGAATTATCAGTGAACGAGGTACCCAGTGGAGAACAGACGGGAGTAGTTCTGAAGAGGACTGGTCTTTCGGTGCTTCTGGCGGGTATCAGCAACGTCTCGGCATAATTACTATTCAATCTCGCCGCCATGCTGCTGGTTTTTCCAGCTATGGTCAGTCTAGATCTGAGAAGACGTCGTTCTGGTCGCTCGGACATACTTTGTTGCTGTTTACCATCTTCCAATACCAGCAGAAACAAGTATACGAACGGGACGACTAACGGCACAGCGAAGCAGACGGTGACCAGAGCGATTCCGCCTGAACGTCGCGAGACCTGCACTCAAATTCTAACCTCTCAGAACGCACAGAACGAGTCCTGGGTCGGTGGGAACATCGATATGGACTTGGACAAGCAGTGCAGCGAAGAGGATACCCTAACCGGTTGCAGCCAGGATGACTGTCTTAGCTTCTCTCTGACTCAAATGGCTGCCAGGCATTACGCCCCATTCGTCACCAGACCAGCGACCAAGGTCTTTGGTATGATGATATTAATCACGGTACTAGCCGGTTGTGTCTGGCAGGCCGTCAAGGTGAACGATGGTCTGGAATTGACCGACCTGGTCCCGCAGAAATCCAACGAACACGCTTTCTTGGCTGCTCAAGCGAAGCACTTTGGATTTTATAACATGTACGCCGTTACCGGGAGGGACTTCGAGTATCCTACCAACCAGAAGCTGCTATACGAGTACCATGATGCTTTTATGAGGATAAAGAATGTCATCAAGAACGACAATGGTGGTCTGCCTGAGTTTTGGTTGAGCTTATTCCGAGACTGGCTGAAGGGATTGCAAAGCGCGTTCGATAAGGATTACAACAATGGGTGTATCACGCAGGAAAGGTGGTACAAGAACGCCAGCGACGAGGCCATTTTAGCTTACAAGCTCTTGGTCCAGACTGGTCACGTTGATAATCCCATCGATAAGTCACTGGTCATCCAAGTTAGACTCGTCGATTCTGAAGGGATCATCAACCCTCGAGCCTTCTATAACTACTTAAGCGCGTGGGTGTCTAACGATGTCCTTGCTTACGGAGCTTCACAGGCCAATTTGAGACCAGAGCCAAGGCAGTGGATCTACACCAATGATCACGAGCTGAAAATCCCTAAAAGCATGCCCCTGACCTACGCTCAAATGCCATTTTACTTGCACAAGCTCACCGACACGCAAGAGATCACCGAGCTGATCGGTAGCGTGAGGAAATTGTGCAGAAAATTCGAGGAACGAGGACTGCCGAACTTTCCGTCCGGTATACCATTTCAATTTTGGGAACAGTATATGGACTTGAGGAGTTGCCTAGGTATCGCCTTGCTGGCTGCACTAACAGCCAGTGTCGTGGTGGTTGGAATACTATTGTTAAACTTGTGGGCCGCTTTGTTGGTTGGTACATCCCTCGCCGCTGTTGTATTGCAACTTCTCGGAATTATGGGCCTTTGCGATATAAAGCTGAGCGCTGTTCCGGCTGTCCTTCTGGTCGTTAGCGTTGGAATAGCTGTACACTTTACAGTGCATATTTGTCTGGTGAGTACCCAGAAACTAGATCTGATAGTTTTATATCCAGAATAAAAAAGTTGATTTTAGTTTAGTGTGTTAAGAAAACTGTTTTATAGTATTCAATTATTAAACAGCAGCGCAAAGACTAAATATAAGTTTTATTTTGAGTACATTTCTTAGGTAAAATTAGAGTCCTCAAATCCATTCTGTGAAGTGAAAGCACATGAGACTACTTCTATAATTCTACCTTCCATTGACCCATGTGTATTCTATTTGCATTTTCTTTCTTTGCAGAGTTTCATCACGAGTATTGGAAGCAGAGATCGAAGGGTCCGGCTAGCCTTAGAACACATGTATGCACCCGTAATTCACGGAGCGCTAACGACTCTGCTGGCTATCGTAATGCTAGCCTTCTCCGAGTTCGACTTCATTGTACGATACTTTTTCCTGGTATTGCTCTGTCTAATTGGGATCGGCCTGGTGAACGGATTGTTCTTCTTTCCAATTTTATTGTCTTTGATCGGCCCGTGTCCGGAAGTGATACCTAATGATCACCCGGATCGTATTTCAACACCGACTCCACCTGCCTCACCAATCGTCAGAAGATCGAAGCCCCCAGCGCCGCCCAGAAGATCGTACAAAATCGATAATGCTAGATTACATGCTGAGCCTTCTCTGACAACAATTACCGAGGAACCCAATTCCTGGCACAGTACACAGGAATCCTGTATAATCGTGCAGCCAGAATTGAAAGTTGAGACAACGTCGACATGTGGTAATCAGGTACGTTGTGAAGCAAATCATAAATTGTTTACAATAAGTTGTGGAAGTTACCTAGTGATTTTTTTTTTAAATATACTTTCGTTGCATTGAGAGTGTCTTTTAATATTAGTTGCTGCAACGTTCTGTCCTTAATTGCTTATACAGTAAGACCCCGCTTAATTGTACTCCATTTTGCGTTGATTCGCTGTAACGCGTTTTTAATACAACTAAAAAAATTCACCATTTCTCGGCTTCCATTAATTAAAGGAAATATTCCAGAGTATTTTAAGAACTACGTAAATAACAGTCAGAACTCTGAAATACATAGAGAATGAGGTTTCTTAAAAATGAAATTGTGGGTTTTAAGGCAAATAGGCATGAATGAACATGAGATTAATATTGTGGTTTCCTGAAATCTATCAGTATCTACTATAAGAACAATTGCGAAATATATAGATGAAGATCTTTTGCAACTACGACGTCAAAATTTTTCAACAACGATGACAGTTCGTGCGAGAGATCATACATGTTAAGTTTGTGCAAAGATAGCCCCTTTACTGTTTCGTATAGCGCTCTACATTCTAGAAACGTATCCTGGGTGTTAACTGGTGTGTCTTACTGTATCTGAAAACATTCTTATTACCGCTTACATTATATAACTTTGAGCCAATGATGCGTTCCATATCCCTGAAGCATGATTAACATGTGTGCTTTTGTTTTAACTAACAGAACTGTAGCGGATCAGATACAAGTGGGTCTAGTCGAATATCACCAGTGACGTCAACATCTCATATCACGACCAAGGTCACTGCGACGGCTAATATAAAGGTGGAAGTTCATACACCGTTAACCAGTGAGTATCTATTCTAATGTATAATTAAAGTACCGTTTGCTAGAAAAACATTCGTTACAAAGTTTGATTGATACATTCACTTATGGTTATTTAAGATGTTCTAATTTTTATGTGAAATTATTGTAGGTACAGTGGATCGTGGGGAAAAATGCAGGCACACGAGTTCCAGTAGCCGAAGGAGCTCGCGCTGCAGTACGAACGTTAATACAGGGGAGTCTTCCGGTTCCAGTTCTGAACCGGATTCAGACACTAACCAACACAAACACTAATAATAAGTACCGGGAAGACCGGCAGCTACTGCTCAAGTACCATGCAAAGCGGGAACATACAGAAGGCTGACTAGGATAGAATTATAGTTTTTCCTCTTCTCTTTAGTAACACGTAGCGATGTGCGAGCATCCAAAGTATATATATATATATATATTATTACTGACGACTCTATTCGTGATGAGTTTGCTGCACGGTTTAAACTTGAATTTGATATTCAGGATTCTTTAATATCCAATACATTGGATATTGTGAAAACGGAACACGTCACTGCCCATATTTTGTATAGAAAGCTGCAAACTAATCCTGAATAGGGCAAAAAGTAAACTAAAGTTTCCTACATAGAGCTGACAATCAGAGTTCACAGGGTACTTTTACATCGCTATTAATATAACGTGCTTATTTGAATCGAGAAACAAAAGTATTATGACTCAGAAATATGTTTTTATGCTCACTCACGGAACCAGTGTACGTGCAGTGTACGTTTGTATATAAATGTTCTCAAAGTACATTTATATTTGTATCATACATTCAATGCAGAGCATTGTTCGCCCAAATCTTCTTTTTGGATTGAATGTGTAATAATTGGGGTAGACAACATGTGCGGTATTAACAAATCGACTTAAAAGTACGTCAAAGAAGATGCTTTACTATGCTCTGTGGTATACGACAGTTTCCATGAAACTATAAGGATATTATTTAGCAAAGTAGAAAAATTTAATTATTTGTTCTATAACTGTTAATAATGTGACAAAGATTATGGAAACGCACGAGATGCGGGCGACGATTGTATAATATTTCCTAGGAATTTCTCGTGAAGTCCGTTAAACGAAATGAGATATATAAGTAGTAACATTTTTCTTTGTCGAAATGTTAAGTTTATCGAAAATACGGAACTTTATCGAGATGTTTTTCTTTTAAAAGATACGAATAGCATTGTACGCATAATGTGTACACTGACGATTTCGTGAAACGATGTATGTAAGGCGTCACTATGAAACGAATATTATACATTAAATAAAGCATTCATGCCTGTTTGGGTAGTTGGATTGCCGAATGTTTGCTGATTACGTTTACGTAATATCGTTAGAAGTAACTTCTAACTTAGAAGTAATTGTGACAAATGTAAACTTCTCGCGACGCTTCTTGTAATAATGTAATGTGGTGCCTTGAAAAAAGATTATGAAATTTGAGTGACTACTATTTATTATATGCTAACAGTAACATGCAGTGTGTATATGACTCGAGCGATATTGAATCTAAAATCTATTTATTATTTATTTTATATCCTCACATTGATATCACGACTATTTAAAGCGATAACGTTTTGTACAATGCCTATTTCATATAATAATTTGTAAAAAATATATACTTAATTATTTATGTCACACGCTCTATAATATTTTTATATAAAATCGTTACTTAATTTAATAAAACAAGTCAATCCATCTGACTCGTACCTCTAATGTAAAAAGGTGTAATATATTATTCCACGGTTATTATCTGCAAGTACATTTCGATGCAAGTATGTCGCAGACTTATGTACAATAAGAGAAGTATTTTTTATGCAAAGTCAACTTGTAAACATAATAAACGCGGACAAGGTATTTAATGAAAAAGATGCTCTATAATAAATGTAGAATTATTTGTGCATAAGGAGCAGTTTTATAAGGAAGAGAATAGTCAATGTACCTCCAATTGTACGTCTTAAATTTTATTATCACATCTTGCCGAAAACAGAACTGTAGTAAAAATTTTTGTACCTTCTGAGCATATCTCGAAACACAGAGCCAGTAATTTTTCCTGACCCTAAGCTTCAACTGGAGGTTTAAAAATTAACTTACTATTAATTTTAATATTGTAGAAGTTAATTATTTTCATGTACTGAATATAGAAACAACTAATTGTATGATTTATAATATTCATTTGTACATAAATATAACGATGATACCGAAATAATTTGACGTAAATACTTCTTCTCCATTCCTGAATATATTAAGAACTTACATTGATTCACACTTCCGTTCCATGCGTTCGGAACGTAGTAAAATAAACATTCGTTCAGTACTGTAACAGTTATTGTCAAAAACAATATCAATCAAACGTCGACCGAAGAATTCTCACTGTGCTACATATTTTTACTAATTCCTTGCATAAACTCGACTCAGGCACATTTAAATTCAATCATTTTTAAGTAACAATCACCACAAACATTAAGACATATATACATATAATCTAAAGTCTTAAATTCCGTGTCCTCTATTGATGTTTTATATAAAATAGTATATTGTGCACTTTTACAAAACCTCATCCAACATATTTTCAGCCAGTTTACTTTTCCTCCTTTAGTATTCGTTTTCCTTTTTTGAACTAGATTTTCTAGATATTTTGGTGAAATGAAATTTTCACGTTTATATA